CTCTTTGGGAGGATGAGGTGAGTAGATTGCCTGAGCCCGCGGGTTCGAGACCCGCCTGGGCAACTTGGCGAGACCTCATCTCTACAATAAATCAAAAAATCAGCCGCGCATGGTAGCGCGTGCCTGTAATTCCGGCTACTCGGAAGGCTAAGGCGGAAGGATCACCGGAACCCAGTGGGTCGAGGCTGCAGTGGCCGAGAGCAGCCACTGCACTCCAGTCTGGGCGACAGAGTGAGACTCCAACTCAAAAAAAACAAAAAAGAGAAAGAGATGATTTCACCTCCATGAACTGCTTAAGGCAAAATACAAGGTGGTCAGAGGATTCTCTTACTAAAAATCAAAAGAATTTTCCTTCAAATACATGTTTAAGAGTATATAGAAATCAACATTCAATATGATTTGCTTTATGAAAATCAATGTAGATATCCCCTTCCAAGACGATGGACGAGTGAGATCAGTGATATCCAAAAAGCCTCAGGTCACACTAAGGAGCAACAAAGATGTTTAGTAGGAAGCCTACCTAAGACCATTGAAAGAGGAAAAGGAAGTTGCAGACCAGAAAACAGAAAGCCAAAGCAGAGTCAGAACCAAGCTGTTTGCCAGAATGTTTCAAGTTAAGGTGCTAAGAATAGCAACATCTTCTTTGATTCTGCCCAGGACCTTTTAACATGGGTAGTGTGTGTGTGTGTGTGTGTGTGTGTGCATATACATATGGAGTGGAGCTTTGCAGCCTGTCTCATTTCTGAGAATGCTTATAAGAGATATAGTAGTATACATGATGGGATATTACACAGCCATAAAGGACAAAATAGATTATGAACTTCACAGCAACTTGGATGGACTTAGAGTCTATAATACTGAGTGATCTGGCACAGAAACAAAGAACTGAGTATCACCTGTTCTCACTCATAAGAAAAACTTAAGCAATTATCATAATACTATAAGAAAAGTATTGGCAGTAGCAGGAAACTGCTGGGGTAGGGAGGGATAGGATTGGAAATAGTAGGAAGCTGCCACAGGAGGGGGGCACACCTCATCACCAAGAGTACCCGCATAATGAACATTTGTATACCTAATCCTGAATTGTGCCCCACATCTTTAAAATTAAAAATTAAAAAATTAAAAAATAAAAAAGAGATACAGTAGGAAATGTAAAAAGTCGTAGAAATGGCATGTTGGTTCACATCTGTAATCCCAAACACAAGAGAGGATTACTTGAGCCCAGGAATTCGAGATAAGCCTGTGCAACATGGCGAGACTTCATCTCTACAAAAAAAATTGTTTTAACTAGCTGGGTGTGGTGGCATGAGACTGTAGCCCCCGCTACTGGGGAGACTAAGATGGAAGGATCACCTGAGCCCAGCAGGTCGAGGCTATGGTAGCCATGGTCATGCCACTGCACTCCAGCCTGGGTGACAAAGTGAGATGATGCTGACTAAAAAAAAAAGTAAATAAGAAAAGTCTTAGAAATGATGTGGTGACTACACAAAGTCTCTAATGAGGCCTGGGAGAAAAGGCAGGTTGGTCACCATCTACAGAGATAGGGCTAATGCTTTGGACCACTAGGTGGCAACCTATATTCAAGTGCAAGGGATCAACACTTCTCTAAACTGGCAAAATCTGATGGCCAGAGTCTCATCCTGGCCATATTCTCGCACACCTAAAGCTTCTCTCAGCTTCCCACCAGGCAGGAGGACCTTGGGGAAGCAATGGAGGGTGGTAGGTAGAGATGACCAAATTGGGATTGAATCCTGGCTTCACTATTTTCTAGTTGAATGACCCTGAGGGGGTGGGAGGGAGGGAGGGAGGGAGGGAGAGAGGGAATGAGAATGTTCTATGCAGAGTCCCTGCCACAGGACTTCTGTTTAGAAAATGGCAATTCTCATCCCTTCCCTCCCTTAGGATATTATGCCCATCTAGACATCCAGTTTCATATAAAAGTTGGGGGTGAGTCAGAAAAGGGGAGTTGGAGGGACTTGGGGCCCCCAAGGGAAGCTTGTACAAAGGATTTATAAAAGTTAACAGGCAAGCCGGGCTCGGTGGCTCAGCCTGTAATCCCGCGCCTTTGGGAGGCTGAGGTGAGTGGATTGCCTGAGCCCGCGGGTTCGAGACCCGCCTGGGCAGTGAGACCTCATCTCTACAATAAATCAAAAAATCAGCCGGGCATGGTAGCGCATGCCTGTAATTCCGGCTACTTGGAAGGCTGAGGCGGAAGGATTGCCGGAGCCCAGCAGGTCGAGGCTGCGGTGGCCGGGAGCGGCCACTGCACTCCAGTCTGGGCGACAGAGTGAGACTCCAACTCAAAAAAAAAAAAAAAGTTAACAGGCAAATGGGTACTATGTAAACCTCTGCCTTGGCCTCTTAAACAACTGAGATGTGCTTGTACCTCTTTAATGAGTAGTTAAACTTCACAAAAATTTCCTTAACCTAGTGGCCTCAGGAAACAGGAGAGTTACACCAGCTTGGCAAGTTCTCTCTGGTAATTTGGGATAGGGAGGCCAGGGCACCCAGGAATCACATACACTATTCACTGAGATTCCTCCAAAATTATTTTCCAATCTGTTTCAAACTTGTCCTCGAACCATACTGATTTAATGTTTGTGTCCCCCTCCCCCCCCAATTCATATGTTGAAATCCTAACCCTCAATGTGGTGGTATTAAGAGATGGTACCTTTGAAATGTGATTAAGTTATGAGGGTGAAGCCCCCATGAATGGTATTAATGTCCTTTATGCAAAAGAGGCTCCAGAAAGGTACCCCTCTCCTGCCTTTTGCCATGTGGGAACACAGCAGGAAAGCAGCCATCTATGCAACAGAAATCAGGCCCTCACCATACACCAGATCTGTCAGTGCCTTGATCTTGAACTTCCAGCCTCCAGAACAGTGAGAAACGCTGTTTATAAGCCACCCAGTTTAGAGTATTCTGTTAAAGCATCCAAAATGGACGAAATCAAGCACAAACAATATGAAACCTATTTTTGCAACATTTTCTTTGAACCTCAAAACTGGCATCTTAATTTGCATAACTCAGCATACTGGGTTTTGTACATAGAAAGTTAAAAGCCTCCACAGGAAACACATTTTCCATTAAATTGTAGTTCTCAGGTTCGACCAATAGATGGCAGCATTAGAGAGAGCGGAGGCATCTATGCAGAAACGACCCCAACCTCAAGAGAGAAGGAAAGAGCTGGCAAAGGAAAGAGGTGCTGAGTCAGGCAAGGTGGAGCCCAAGTGAGTGTGAGTACACATTCAGTGAGTGTGTACTATGTGCCTGACTACTATTGGACAACACAGTGAATCAGGTGTTAGCCCTATTTTACGTAAGAGGAGCCCAAGACTGAAAGTTGATATCCTTTTCCTATGGTCACACAGCTAGCAAGTAGGGGACTGGCATATAAAGCCAAATATGTCTGTTTCCATCTCACCTCACCTCCCTGAAGGTTCAAGGAGGAGATGGGTTGGGGAGGGTGACCAAGGTCACCTCCATCCTGTCCTCTGCACATCCCCTTATGCCATTCCCTCATAACTGCTCTAGCTCCTCCTTGCCTGTCGGCCAATCTGAGCCTCAACTTCCTTGAGTCCCAGTCTCAGACCACCCTACCCTTACAAGAGGTGTGCTGTACCAAATCTCCCCAGCTACATTGCTTTCTAGCTGGTGCTCTTCAGCACTAACCAGGTGTTTAGGCACTGAGTACTCAGTGTGGTCTGTGGACCAGAAGCATTGGTACCACCTACTTAGAAATGCAGAACCTCTAGCTGGGCTCTGTGGCTCAGCCTGTAATCCCGCGCCTTTGGGAGGCTGAGGTGAGTGG